ATACTCACAAAGACCCACATAAACCCACAGAGACCCATACCTATCGAAATCCATACTCACAGAGACCCACGGAAACCCACAGAGACCCACTTAAACCTACAGAGACCCATACCTATCGAAATCCATACTCACAGAGACCCACAGAGATCCACAGAGACCCACTTAAACCCACAGAGACCCATACTTATCGAAATCCATACTCACAAAGACCCACATAAACCCACAGAGACCCATACCTATCGAAATCCATACTCACAGAGACCCACAGAGATCCACAGAGACCCACAGAAACCCATAGAGACCCATACTTATCGAAATCCATACTCACAAAGACCCACAGAAACCCATAGAGACCCATACTTATCGAAATCCATACTCACAGTGACCCACTTAAACCCATAGAGACCCATACTTATCGAAATCCATACTCACAGAGACCCACAGAAACCCACAGAGACCCATACCTATCGAAATCCATACTCACAGAGACCCACAGAAACCCACAGTGTTAGACCAGGGGACGCCAAAAGGCGAACAGCACAAAGGCAATGCCGCAATCAGCACATTGAGAGCTCGGGGTTAGCAGCTGCAACATGAGACGAGGCTCTAAAAGAAAGCTGTCTCTGGTGTGCAGCAATCAGTTTCAAAGACAATGCATCATCATCATCAGCATCATCATCGTCGTATACTAACAAAGTATGTCTTGTTTTCACGTTCATCACAAGACATGATCCCTGGCAAAAAAAAATGTTTCCGTTTGGTGTTTAAACATCTTAACAGAAAGGGTAAAACCTATTGGTATATTTTGACGCCGGCAAGAGAGGGCCCATGGGATGGAGACGAGTCCGCAGGCTCTGCCGTACAGCCACGGGGAGTAGGGAACCCACCCACGGGGGAGGAAGAGCGGAATGTGCTTCACATCATCTCCATGTATATCAAAGGCAAAGGCCGTAATCTGAACGTGGCTCTTTCACTCCAGCGCTGTCCTACCAGACAGTCTCGTCCCTTCACCTGATGAAGGCCGCTTGTGTTGTGGCCGAAACGTCGTGAGAATATTATTGTGTTATTTTATTTTATCAATTTATTATTTTATTCTCATTCTACCTGGTGACTTTACCGAAAGAACCAAAGAAGTGTGTGTGTGTGTGTGTCTGGACAAAATGTTTAGCGTACTTCCCGACATGCAACAAAGTTGAAAATTGGCACGTGGGTACTTTCCAAACTGTACACCATGCAAACATTGTTAAAATACACTTTTGGTTTTTTTAGGGGGGAGGAGGGGGGGCGGAGCTCAATAATGCATTTATTTTTTTTGCACGGCAAGTGAGCTGTGACGTCAAATCTGTCACGTGACCCACGCACGTGGAAGCGTAACGCATTGTAGTGTAGCGGTTAGCGCGCTGTCTGTGTGTGTGTGTATCTGTGTGTGTCTGTGTGTGTGTCTGTGTGTGTATCTGTGTGTGTATCTGTGTGTGTATCTGTGTGTGTCTGTGTGTGTCTGTGTGTCTCTGTGTGTGTCTGTGTGTGTGTATCTGTGTGTGTCTGTGTGTGTGTGTATCTGTGTGTGTCTGTGTGTGTATCTGTGTGTGTTTGTGTGTGTGTCTGTGTGTCTTTGTGTGTGTCTGTGTGTGTGTCTGTGTGTGTCTGTCTGGGTGTGTCTGTGTGTGTGTGTCTGTGTGTATGTGGAAGCGTAACGCATTGTAGTGTACCGGTTAGCGCGCTGTCTGTGTGTGTCTGTGTGTGTGTATCTGTGTGTGTCTGTGTGTGTGTGGGTATCTGTGTGGGATGGGGCAGTTGTGGAGAGAGTGGAGAGTTTCCCATACCTGGGCAGTGTGCTTATGACTGGCTCCAGTTTAACAGCGGAGGTCTCACTCCGAATCAGTCGAGCGGCAATATCTTTTCATCGGTTGCGTAACGCTGTGTGGAAGCTACCTGGTCTGTCGCTCCGCACTAAGCTTCAGGTCTTCTCGGCCACGGTCATTCCCTCCCTTCTCTACGCTTGCGAAACGTGGACCCCCCTAATGGAACATCTTCGCCGGTTAGAAACATTTAGGCTGGCCTGCCTACGATCCATCCTGGGTTTAACCAGACTGGATTGTGTGAGGAGCTCACAAATCCTTGAAAGATCTGGGCAAGGTCCCATCGGTGAGCTCCTCCGGCGGGCAAGGCTGCGATGGCTGGGTCATGTAGCCCGCATGCCCAGCCACCGCATGCCAAAACAGCTTTTGTTCGGCCGGATTGAGGGGGCTAAGCGGGCGCGGCACGGGCTAGAGAAGAGATGGAGTGATGTGGTACAGGAGGACGTGGAGCTGAGTGGACTTGCCAATGACTAGTACCAGCGGTGTCAAGATCGGCCTCTGTGGAGGAGGCTCGTGAAGGACGCTACTGGGCAGTTGGAGGTAGTCGCCCTCCAACAACAACGGAGGGCGGAGGAGCGACGCTCAGAACAACGAGCGGAGCTCCGGGTGGCTAAAGCACAGCAGGTTGGCACAGTAGGGGGCACAGGTGGTGCATCAGCCAGTCATCTCAGTCAGTCGACCCGTGGCACCTGGGTCTGCCCCGTGACCTCCTGCCAGCGGGCGTTCGACACTTCACGTGGCCTCAGGGTGCACATAGCCTGGCACAAGCGTCGTGGTGACGTCACCGCCACTTAGTGGCGAATGGCGGTTGTTGTTGTGTGTGTACACGTGTGTGTGTGTACACGTGTGTGTATGTGTCTGTACGTGTGTGTGTGTGTCTGTACGTGTGTGTGTACGTGTGTGTGTACGTGTGTGTGTGTGTGTACACGTGTGTGTGTGTACACGTGTGTGTGTACACGTGTGTGTGTTCACGTGTGTGTGTGTGTACACGTGTGTGTGTGTGTGCGTACACGTGTGTATGTGTACACGTGTGTGTGTGTGTACACGTGTGTGTGTGTGTGTACACGTGTGTGTGTGTGTCAGGAGCGGTGGGTGTAGCGGTTAGCGCTACAGCCACCGCTCCGAACCTGGCGACCCGCTTTCGATTCCCGCTCACGGCCAACACCGTCAGTGACGATTATCTAAACCGGTCCCGGGCCTCCCCTAGGTCGACTCAGCCTCAAATGAGTAGCTGGTGCGATGTGTTCATAGTTTCATAGTATCATTTATTTTGGTTATAGCCCTGTGAGCCATTCGGCTCTTGAATCGAGTGCAACCGCAACAAACAAAAAAACTAAAACGTGAACAAGAAAAACATCTTAAAGTGACTTTCTGTTGACCGTGCAAAACAGAAAATCCAGCAAAAAAACCCATCAAAATATTCCTGAAAAAGCACCGTACACCAACGCTGTGTGCAAAAATCCCAGTGGGATGCAAGTCAAACAACAACAACCACAAGGCAACTTAGATTAAGGCCATCAGTCTAACTCCGTACTACAACAAAACAAGAACATGGCCAAACCAAAAAAAAAAACGTTTTAGAAATCACCAAAATAAAGCCATAAATGCAATGTAACAGTGGTCATAGGGACCGTGACCGCCACTGGGGAGAGACAAAGGCGGCCGGGCGTGGTGATGGCCACCCCACCCCCTCGTGTGCCGTGCCGGCCTTCATAGGTGCTGTCCGCTAACGGCACTTGCCCCAGCGGTCCGCTTAAGGCTACACGGGGGGGTCTTTGTCTTTAATAATAATAGGGTTTTCCTCTTTTTTCTGGCAATAAAACTGAAACCTTTTTGACAAGGATTCATGTTTACTGCATTAACCACAATACCCGCAGTCAAAATGTAAACAAAAACACATACTATGATAATATATAATGCATGGTCCTCGAAACTTATTGGTCCACACCAAGGGACGGCTTTCTTTTGAGCCTCGACCCAATTGGTGCTCGACCAGATGACGCCAAAAGGCGTCACCACAGCTCAAAGACAATGCCACTATCAAAGTAATGAGGGCTCGGGGTGAACATCTACATCATCATTAGACCTCCTTTTGCCAGTACCAAAATATAATAATAATAGGGGTTGTTCCCCTTTTTTCTGGCAATACAACTGAAACCTTTTTGACAAGGATTCATGTTTACTCCATTAACCACAACACCCGCAGTCAAAATGCAAACAAAACACATACTATGATAATTTATGCATTGTCCTCGAAACTGATTGGTCCACACCAAGGGACGGCTTCTCTTTTGAGCCTCGACCCAATTGGTGCTCGACCAGATGACGCCAGAAGGCGTCACACAGCTCAAAGACAATGCCGCTATCAAAGTAATGAGGGCTCGGGGTCAGCATCTACATCATCATTAGACCTCCTTTGCCAGCAGCAAAATATAATAATAGGATTCATACTTTTGGGTTTTTATCGGTAAAGTCACAGTAAAGTCACCTACGTGACTTTACCGAAAAAAAACAAAGATTATGAATCCTTGCAGTCACGAAAGCTTCAAATCTAGATATAATAAAAGGGTTTTCACCTTTTTTCTGGCAACAAAACTGAAACCTTTTTGACAAGGATTCATGTTTACTCCATTAACCACAACACCCGCAGTCAAAAAGCAAACAAAACACATACTATGATAATTTATGCATTGTCCTCGAAACTGATTGGTCCACACCAAGGGACGGCTTCTCTTTTGAGCCTCCACCCAATTGGTGCTCGACCAGATGACGCCAAAAGGCGTCACCACAGCTCAAAGACAATGCCGCTATCAAAGTAATGAGGGCTCGGGGTGAGCATCTACATCATCATTAGACCTCCTTTTGCCAGTACCAAAATATAATAATAATAGGGGTTGTTCCCCTTTTTTCTGGCAATACAACTGAAACCTTTTTGACAAGGATTCATGTTTACTCCATTAGCCACAACACCCGCAGTCAAAATGCAAACAAAACACATACTATGATAATATATGTGGCATTGTCCTCGAAACTGATTGGTCCACACCAAGGGACGGCTTTCTTTTGAGCCTCCACCCAATTGGTGCTCGACCACGTGACGTCAGAAGGCGTGACGTCAGACGCGTGTGACCCTCCCTTTAGTGACCGTGCTGCTGGTCTCCAGCGTCTGGGCCCGCGACGCCCACTTCAGCAAATCCGCGACGCTGGGGTCCAACGTGACGCTGCCCTGCCACTTTGAGCCGCGCGAGGGCAACGACGTGATCAGAGTGCAGTGGAAGAGGAACGACTCCTTCAAGGTAAGACCCCAAAGCCGTGGGGGGTGGTGGGGGTGGTGGGTGGGGAGGGTTATTACACCGACCAACATTTTGTTTTGTTCTATTGGGTAAAGTCACGTAGGTAAAAAATAAAATAACAAAAATCACGACGTTTCGGCCACAACACAAGCGGCCTTCATCAGGTGAAGGGACGAGACTGTCTGGAGGACAGCGCTGGAGTGAAAAAAGCCACGCTCAGATTGCGACCTTTAAGCTGTGTGAGAAGAAACAAAGCGCCTTGACAAAGGAATCAGCATAGAATTTAGCATTCAAATGGCTCATTGAAATAGCTAAGTTAAAGTATACACATCCGCAGAGGCACCCCTTGACAAAGGAATTAGCATAGGATTTAGCATTGAAATAGCTGAGTGATTAGCTTGTAACTGGTCACAGAAATAGCTATTTTAAAGTCAGAGCATACACATTCACAGATGCACCTAGTACAAATCAAACAGGAGAATTTAGCATTGCAATAACTAGGCGAATTTACCATTGAAATAGCTGAGTGATTAGCTTGTACCTGGTCACAGAAATAGCCATGTTAAAGTCAGAACATATACATTCACCGAGGCACCTAGTACAAATCAAACAGGATAATTTAGCGAAACACAACCACGCTCAGACCGTGGACCTTTAAACTGTGTGCGAGCAAACAAGCTGTCCTGACAAAGAAATTAGCATAAAAATTAGCATTTGATTGGCCGATTTTAGAAAAGAGGTGGTGTACGTGCCGGTGAACTTGCCGTTTGGCGCGGGGTGATTGCTATATCGGGGAGACAAAGCGACATGTCTCTGAACGAATTCTCGAGGACAAATCAGATTTGAAACACGGCAAGACGAATTCTTCTGCCGTGGCTGATCACTGTTACAACGCTGTGGGTGATCACGATATAATTTTCTCCGGTACCAAGGTTATTTGCAAACCCACGGGTTTTGATCAGAGATTTGTTCACGAGGCAATTCAGATCTACAAACACAGACACAATTTCAACTGAGAAGATGGTTTCAAATTAAGCAACCATTGGAAAGATGTTCTAAATCGAACCAAACATTAAACTCATTTTCAATGGTACAGTATATTTTTCAAGTAGTGGTACCCCAAACTTTCACAGCTCTTATAAATTCCCTTTTCACACCATCAATAGGTAAACTCCCCCTCCCCCCCGCGCCAAACGGCAAGTCCACCGGCACGTACACCACCTCTTTTCTAAAATCGGCCAATCAAATGCTTATTTTTATGCTAATTTCTTTGTCAGGACACCTTGTTTGCTCGCACACAGTTTAAAGGTCCGCGGTCTGAACGTGGTTGTGTTTCGCTAAATTCTCCTGTTTGATTTGTACTAGGTGCCTCGGTGAATGTATATGTTCTAACTTTAACATAGCTATTTCTGTGACCAGTTACAAGCTAATCACTCAGCTATTTCAATGCTAAATTCGATGCTAATTCCTTTGTCAAGGGGTGCCTCTGCGGATGTGTATACTTTAACTTAGCTATTTCAATGAGCCATTTCAATGCTAAATTATATGCTAATTCCTTTGTCAAGGCGCTTTGTTTCTTCACACACAGCTTAAAGGTCGTGATCTGGGCGTGGCTTTTTTCACTCCAGCGCTGTCCTCCAGACAGTCTCGTCCCTTCACCTGATGAAGGCCGCTTGTGTTGTGGCCGAAACGTCGTGATTTTTGTTATTTTATTTTTTACCTACGTGACTTTACCCAATAGAACCAAAGAGTATGGATCCTAGCAGTCACGAAAGCTTTAAATCTAGAACATTTTGTTTGCATATGCGAGTATTCCTCTAGAACTGCTAGGTGTTGTTGTTGTTGTGTTAAGTGTTGTTGTGTTAAGTGTTGTTGTGTTAAGTGTTGTTGTTGTGTTAAGTGTTGTTGTGTTAAGTGTTGTTGTTGTTGTTGTGTTAAGTGTTGTTGTTGTGTTAAGTGTTGTTGTTGTGTTAAGTGTTGTTGTTGTTGTGTTAAGTGTTGTTGTTGTGTTAAGTGTTGTTGTTGTGGTAAGTTTGTTGTGTTAAGTGTTGTTGTGTTAAGTGTTGTTGTTGTGTTAAGTGTTGTTGTTGTGTTAAGTTTGTTGTGTTAAGTGTTGTTGTTGTTGTGTTAAGTGTTGTTGTTGTGTTAAGTGTTGTTGTGTTAAGTGTTGTTGTTGTGTTAAGTGTTGTTGTGTTAAGTGTTGTTGTGTTAAGTGTTGTTGTTGTGTTAAGTGTTGTTGTGTTAAGTGTTGTTGTTGTTGTGTTAAGTGTTGTTGTGTTAAGTGTTGTTGTTGTTGTGTTAAGTGTTGTTGTTGTGTTAAGTGTTGTTGTTGTGTTAAGTGTTGTTGTTGTTGTTGTTGTGTTAAGTGTTGTTGTTGTGTTAAGTGTTGTTGTTGTGTTAAGTGTTGTTGTTCTGTTAAGTGTTGTTGTTGTGTTAAGTGTTGTTGTGTTAAGTGTTGTTGTTGTTGTGTTAAGTGTTGTTGTGTTAAGTGTTGTTGTTGTTGTGTTAAGTGTTGTTGTGTTTAGTGATGTTGTGTTAAGTGTTGTTGTGTTAAGTGTTGTTGTTGTGTTAAGTGTTGTTGTGTTAAGTGTTGTTGTGTTAAGTGTTGTTGTTGTGTTAAGTGTTGTTGTTGTGTTAAGTGTTGTTGTTGTGTTAAGTGTTGTTGTTGTGTTAAGTGTTGTTGTGTTAAGTGTTGTTGTGTTGTTGTTGTTGTGTTAAGTGATGTTGTTGTTGTGTTAAGTGTTGTTGTGTTAAGTGTTAAATGTTGTTGTGTTAAGTGATGTTGTTGTGTTAAGTGATGTTGTTGTGTTAAGTGATGTTGTTGTTGTGTTAAGTGATGTTGTTGTTGTGTTAAGTGATGTTGTTGTTGTGTTAAGTGATGTTGTTGTTGTGTTAAGTGTTGTTGTTGTGTTAAGTGTTGTTGTTGTGTTAAGTGTTGTTGTTGTTGTGTTAAGTGTTGTTGTTGTGTTAAGTGTTGTTGTTGTGGTAAGTTTGTTGTGTTAAGTGTTGTTGTGTTAAGTGTTGTTGTTGTGTTAAGTGTTGTTGTTGTGTTAAGTTTGTTGTGTTAAGTGTTGTTGTTGTTGTGTTAAGTGTTGTTGTTGTGTTAAGTGTTGTTGTGTTAAGTGTTGTTGTTGTGTTAAGTGTTGTTGTGTTAAGTGTTGTTGTGTTAAGTGTTGTTGTTGTGTTAAGTGTTGTTGTGTTAAGTGTTGTTGTTGTTGTGTTAAGTGTTGTTGTGTTAAGTGTTGTTGTTGTTGTGTTAAGTGTTGTTGTTGTGTTAAGTGTTGTTGTTGTGTTAAGTGTTGTTGTTGTTGTTGTTGTGTTAAGTGTTGTTGTTGTGTTAAGTGTTGTTGTTGTGTTAAGTGTTGTTGTTCTGTTAAGTGTTGTTGTTGTGTTAAGTGTTGTTGTGTTAAGTGTTGTTGTTGTTGTGTTAAGTGTTGTTGTGTTAAGTGTTGTTGTTGTTGTGTTAAGTGTTGTTGTGTTTAGTGATGTTGTGTTAAGTGTTGTTGTGTTAAGTGTTGTTGTTGTGTTAAGTGTTGTTGTGTTAAGTGTTGTTGTGTTAAGTGTTGTTGTTGTGTTAAGTGTTGTTGTTGTGTTAAGTGTTGTTGTTGTGTTAAGTGTTGTTGTTGTGTTAAGTGTTGTTGTGTTAAGTGTTGTTGTGTTGTTGTTGTTGTGTTAAGTGATGTTGTTGTTGTGTTAAGTGTTGTTGTGTTAAGTGTTAAATGTTGTTGTGTTAAGTGATGTTGTTGTGTTAAGTGATGTTGTTGTGTTAAGTGATGTTGTTGTTGTGTTAAGTGATGTTGTTGTTGTGTTAAGTGATGTTGTTGTTGTGTTAAGTGATGTTGTTGTTGTGTTAAGTGATGTTGTTGTTGTGTTAAGTGATGTTGTTGTTGTGTTAAGTGATGTTGTTGTTGTGTTAAGTGATGTTGTTGTTGTGTTAAGTGATGTTGTTGTTGTGTTAAGTGATGTTGTTGTTGTGTTAAGTGATGTTGTTGTTGTGTTAAGTGATGTTGTTGTTGTGTTAAGTGATGTTGTTGTTGTGTTAAGTGATGTTGTTGTTGTGTTAAGTGATGTTGTGTTAAGTAATGTTGTTGTTGTGTTAAGTGTTTTTGTCCTTCCCCCGCGCACCTCCGATTCGCAGTACGGTTGGCTACGTACGGTGGTGCGTACGAAGTTCAACTTACACACACATGGTGGTGGTAAGGATGTTGATGATGATGATGGTGTTGATGATATAGGGTGATGTATAGTGATGATGTTGATGATGTTGAAGATGTTGTTAAGGGGAAGGTGCCTGCACCAAAATATAGGGGACTTCTCGACTTACGAACGAGTTAAGTTCCAGAGGCACTGTTCGTAAGTCGATTTGTTCGCAAGTCCAAATTTGACTCCTGTCGATTTGAAACGTGTTGTACGACGTGTACACTAAACACGGGGAATAGCTTGAAAAGGTGAATAGTCTCCTGTAGATCTTCTTGGTAAAGTCACCACGTAGAATGGAAATAAAATAATTAAAATAAAACATGATAAGAAGTAAAATTCTCACGACGTTTCGGCCACAACACGAGTAGCCTTCTTCAGGTGAAGGAACAGAACTGTCGGGACGACAGCGCTTACAATGATTGCTGCTAAGCTTCGCAGCGTCTTTTAAGCTAGGTGGAAGAGGTAAAGCGTCTTGACAAAGGAGTTTACATATCAAACAGGAGAATTTAGCATTGAAGTAGCTGTGATAAAGTGTTGGATCAGCAGGGTGTTAAAGTCAGAAATTAGCATTTAACTGGGAGATTAGCATGATGTTAATGTGAGGGATTAGGATGCGACTGGTCACGGAAATAGCTATGTTAAAGTCAAAGTTTACATCTCAGCAGAGGCATTTAGTATATGGACCCTAAAGGACTGCAACTACCTAACTAGCATACAATAAATAGATGTGAAAAAAACTAAGTATAAACTACATCATTATAATAAATGTACTCAATATATTCTTCAATAAGTTGAGCTATAAACATAAAGTAACTGTCTTCTTTGGTTCTTTCGGTAAAGTCACGTAGAATGAGAATAAAATAATAAATTGATAAAATAAAATAACACAATAATATTCTCACGACGTTTCGGCCACAACACACGCGGCCTTCATCAGGTGAAGGGACGAGACTTTCACTCCAGCGCTGTCCTACCAGACAGTCTCGTCCCTTCACCTGATGAAGGCCGCTTGTGTTGTGGCCGAAACGTCGTGAGAATATTATTGTGTTATTTTATTTTATAAATTTATTATTTTATTCTCATTCTACGTGACTTTACCGAAAGAACCAAAGAAGATGAATCCTTGCAGTCACGAAAGCTTTAAATCGAAAAATAAAGTAACTGTGTATACACTACACTATATAATGAATACCATATAGTAAACTAATAAAAAACTTAAATATAAACTACGTCAATGTTATCAATAAACTCTATATACTCTACAATCAGCTGAGCTACCAACAATAATTCGTTATACATTACAATGCCATATGGCGAAAAAATGGGTGGCGGTTTTTTCATCTTTCCAACGTTAGCACCACGGAGAGCGACGTGCCTCGTGCAGACGGACGAGTCCATCAATGCTCGGAACAGATGAGGGGGGAGAAACAGCCACGATGCGATGCTCTGTCCTGTGTTGCGTTACAACCATGCCATAAACTAGACTACTATACATTGTAATGTTATACCTTCCAATCTAAACTACATTGTAGAATATCGTAATACACAGCCCAATGTAAGCTCTAACATTATGCATTATATTGATATGTCTCCAAGTAAACTTTTTCCTACATTACACGACTAGGCGTTGTAATATACACTGCCATAGACAAACGCACCCTTGAATTATACAATGCGTTACTTTACACTACCCTATACTTTAGACTGTAAAATATTAGACTTGTAATATTACACTTTGTATTATTCAACCAACCCTACTGTATACCACACTTTATGTTCTGCAGATGTAGATGCCACTGGTTCTTCATGTTCTGTAGATGTAGATACCACTGGTTCTTCACGTTCTGTAGATGTAGATGCCACTGGTTCTTCATGTTCTGTAGATGTAGATGCCACTGGTTCTTCACGTTCTGTAGATGTAGATGCCACTGGTTCTTCATGTTCTGTAGATGTAGATGCCACTGGTTCTTCATGTTCTACAGATGTAGATGCCACCAGTTATTCATGTTGTGCAGATGTAGATGCCACTGGTTCTTCACGTTCTGCAGATGTAGATGCCACTGGTTCTTCGTGTTCTATAGATGTAGATGCCACTGGACCTTCACGTTCTGTAGAAGTAGATGCCACTGGTTCTTCATGTTCTGTAGATGAAGATGCCACTGGTTCTTCACGTTCTGTAGATGTAGATACCACTGGTTCTTCATGTTCTACAGATGTAGATGTCACTGGTTCTTCAAGTTCTGCAGATGTAGATGCCACTGGTTCTTCACGTTGTGCAGATGTAGATGCCACTGGTTCTTCATGTTGTGCAGATGTAGATGCCGCTGGTTCTTCATGTTGTGCAGATGTAGATACCACTGGTTCTTTAAGTTCTGCAGATGTAGATGCCACTGGTTCTTCATGTTGTGCAGATGTAGATACCACCACCACCACCATCTATCGCGTGGCACGGTTGAACTCATGGTCCTGACAGCTGCAGCTGGACATCCGGGGGACCGGCTTTGTTCACATTCTCTGAAAGCCCATGAGTCGAATGTTCATAAGTAGAGGCGTCGCTGTCACACCAATGCCCTGTCCCCGTTATGCCTCCCTTGCAACCCCCTCGTCTGCTCACGGAAGATCCTCTACTACTCGAAAAATGACCAGAACAACTGCGAGCGTGTGACCTGGCGGGGCGATCTGAGCACCGGCAACGCCAGCATTGAAATCATCCACCTGCAGCCGAAGGACGTTGGCAACTACACCTGCGATGTCTTCTGCAATAGTGACGGCACTTGGAACAAGACCATCGTTCAACTGGTCGTGCTCGAGCGAAAAGGTGCGTCTGTGTGCGTGTCTGTCTTGTCTGTCTGTCTCAAGGTGCACATGGCCTGGCGCAAGCGTCGTGGTGACGTCACCGCCACTTAGTGGCGAATGGCGGTCGTTGTTTTTGTTGTGTGTGGCGACTCAGCCTCAGATGAGTTGCCTGATGCTGTGGCCACCCACCCCCTCGTGAGCCGTGCCGGCCTTCATAGGTGCTCGCTAACAGCACTTGCCCCAACAGCCTGCGAAGGCTATACGGGGGACCTCTGTGTTTTGTCTTTGGTGTGGCTGTGTGTGGTGTGTGGTGTCTTTGTGTGTGTGTGTGTGGTTTGTCTTTGTGTGGTGTCTTTGTGTGTGTGGTGTCTTTGTATGTGTGTGTGGTTTGTCTTTGTGTGGTGTCTTTGTGTGTGTGGTGTGTCTGTGTGTGTGGTTTGTGGTGTCTTTGTGTGTGTGGTGTGTCTGTGTGTGTGTGTGGTTTGTGGTGTCTTTGCATGTGTGTGTGTGTCTGTCTAGCCCGGCATAAACAACCCCCTACCTCCTCATTGGTGCCGGATGGTAACGCTGTGGTGAGCAGCAATGCCATGGGGGGGAGGGCAAACTTCGAATGGCCATGCCTGTCACGGTGTTTGTAGCCACCACAGCGACCAAAGGTGGCTCTGGATGGGTGTGAGGGGCTGGTAATCCGTCCACTGTCAATGCAAGTACCACAAAACCACGAATACAAATCTAAATAAGCTTGTGCCGGAGCCCCCGGGGGGTGGAGGGGGGGGACAGGCGTCTTTGACGTCTCCTGGCCAAACTCCATTCGGCGGAGCCAGGAGACTGAATCCTTACCCCCGGGATTCCTCCAGAAACAGCAAAAAGCCACTGCGGGTGGCCACGTGGAATGTTCGAACGCTCACTGCCGAGCAGAGGCTGCCACTTGTCTGTTGGGAGCTGGACCGGTACCGCCTGGATCTCTGTGGCATTCAGGAGGTCCGGTGGACCGGTTCTGGCTCCTGCCACCATGAGGGGTGGACAGTCCTCTACTCGGGACAGGAGACTGCCAAACAAGAGGGTGTGGCTCTTCTTTCGAACAAAAGAATGAAGGGAGCGTGGTGGTGAGGTGTGGGAAGCTGTAAGCCCCAGGCTACTTTGGGCTCGCCTTCCCATCAATCGGAGGCGAGGAGTGGTGGTCGTGGTTACTTATGCCCGCATCGAAGACGAACATCCGTGGAGGGATGCAGGCAAAGCCGATGAGTCAGACGCCTTCTATGACCTCCTGTCACAGGTTCCAGCTAAAGTGGCTGCTCCGGATAGAGTCATCTTGTTGGGTGACTTCAATGCCCAAGTTGGTCATCATGCTGGCGCCTGGTCTAGAGTGATTGGAAGGCATGGGCCAGATCAGCTCAATAACAACGGTAGGAGGCTGCTATATTTTTGTGGAGCCCATGGGCTTGTAATTACCAACATGCTGTTCCGGCATCAGCGCATCCAAACAACATCATGCATGCATGCCGGGTCTAAGCATGAACATCTGCTGGACTACATAGTGACAGACCAGCGGATGCGGGCCCATGTCCTTGACACCAGGACCTACCATGGAGCTGATCTGCCCACTGACCATCGACTTGTCATCTGCAAGATGCGCCTGCTATTCTTCCACTCTGGTGGTGGGTGTACACCGAGGACCCAATTCAAACCCTTAGTGGCCTGGTCTCTGCTAGCTGATGAAATCTTGACTTAAAGCTTTTTTGACTGCAGGAATTAATATTATTAGGTATTTCGGTAAAGTCACGTAGATATGTTCGAAGACCCAAAAATAGCTATGAAAGTTGGCAGCAAGAATTTCATCATCGCTTGCGGCTGTGGTTGGCATCATCCCCCACATCACCTGATGTCGAGGGGAAATGGGCGAGGTTTAGGACTGTGGCTCATGCAGCTGCAATGGTTGCTTTGGGTACGCGGTCCAGACCTCCCCAGAGACCCTGGCTGACAGAGGAGGTGTTCAGGATGGTTGAGAAAGAGCAACAGGCCCACTATCATCGGCTACAGAATCCCACGTCGGAGATTGAGGAGGCTTACCGCAGCCTTTACTCTGAGGTTCGGAGATCCATGAGGCGCTGCAAGGATGAGTGGTGGTCACGGGTTGGTGATGAGATGGAATATGCCTGCAATCAAAAATAGCTCTTTAATTCCAACAAAAAAGTAACCTGCAGCGCCACACCTATTACCACAATTAGGGGAAAGAACGGTGATCCAATCTCCGACCCCCAGGAACAGGTTTGCAGATTTGCTGAGCATTTCTGTGAGGTCCTGGGGGAGGGAAAATCCCTCAGCGTGGAAAACATCGTCGGACAAAGTGGGGATCAAATTGCTGAGGCTGCGGTGCCTGAAATATTGGAAGAAAAAATCACCCCCTATGAGTGGCTGGCCGAGGTGCCATCTGTTGAGGAAGTACCGAAGGCGAGTCTGAGACCAGGAAAGGCACCGGGCAGAGATGATCTCCCAAGCGAAATGCTGAAGGAGGGTGGCGTTTGTGCACAGACTACCCTACATGACAACATAATAACAGTCTGGACCACTGGATGGGTTACGCAGGACTGGAATGATACCCTGGTGATCGTCATTTTTAAGAAGGGGGACCGCACAGACTGTAACAACTGCAGGGGCATTTCACTCCTCAGTGTGCCGGTAAAGGTCCTGGCAAGGATTATTCAACATCGCCTTGCCAGGCACGCTGAGGAGAGGCTTGTGGAGCCCCAATGCAGTTTCAGGAAAGGGCGGTCCTGCACAGCTGCCATAATTTCTGTCCGTCTGCTACAGCAGAAGTGTAAGGAATTCCGAAAAGACTGCATCTCTTATTGATTAACCTGGTCAAGGCCTATGATACCATCAGTAGGCCTGGGCTCTGGGTTGTTCTTCGTACTTTCAAAGTCCCTGACTCTCTGCTCATGATCATTAAGGACCTTCATGATGGTGAGCGGGCCCGGGTAGTGGTCAGTGCTGCGCTGCGAACCCGGTGAACCGAGTTCAGATTCCCACTTACAGCCACCAACACCACCAGTGACTATTATCTGAACCAATCCTGGGCCTTTCCCAGGTCGACTCATCATCAAATGAGTACCTGGTGTTGGCCACCCACCCCGTTGTGTTCTGTGCCGGTCTATATAGGTGCTCGCTTGCCCCAACAATCTATTAAGGCTATGAGGGGGGAATCTTTGTCTTTGTCAGTGCATTGTTATCAAGGCCACAGCTAAAAAACAAAGACTAATATCCCCCCGTCTAGCCTCTAACAGACTGTTTGGGCAAGTTGCTGTCCGCGAAAAGCACCTATGAAGGCCGGCAAATGTGGCACACGAAGGGGTGGGTGGCCTAGGGGTTGGTGCCACGTCAAATCAAGGGCTCCTAGAACACCGCGTTTTGGCGTCGTTACACATCGATTGCCCATGGGTTTATTTTTTTTTAATATTTTCACAGCTTCGACGACCGTTGCGCCTGACGTCTCAGAGCCACCGTTCGGTGAGTGGAGATCTTGGTCGCTGTTACTCCGCCTTGAGCACCACAACGCGCCAACAGGAACCAATGGAGGGGGGGGGGGGGTCGCTTCGTTGAAGCGTCACCGGCCACCAAACCCCCCTGCTGTAGACTCACACAGACAGAGAGGGACATTTAGAGACCCATAGGCTCGCAAATAGACACAGAGACTCCGAGAGACACACAAACACCCAAAGACTAACACACAGAGAGAGAGAGAGAGATCGACTCTCATAGACTCACGTAGTTATACAGAGACCCATAGACTCATCACACAGATACCCATGACTCATCACACAGAGACCCATAGACTCACACATAGACCCACAGACCCACACAGAGACCCATAGACTTATCACACAGAGACCCATAGACTCACAAAGAGACCCATAGACTCATCACACTGAGAGCACCATAGACTCATCACACAGAGACCCATAGACGTACAGAGAGAACCATATACTTACAGAGAGACCCATAGACTTACAGAGAGCCCCGTAGACTCACCATACAGAGACCCATAAACTCACACAGTAACCCATAGACTCTCACAGAGACCCAGAGACTCGCCCAGTAACCCATAGACTCATCACACAGAGACCCGGAAAATTGTTAACACTCTCGAATGACAAAAATGCACAAGAGAGTCACGCAAACCCAATGCACGCAAGCGTGCGTGCGCGCGTGTGGACTGATAGTACGTTGATTTATTTTCCGTCCTTTAGATTACACGCATGGAAATCAAGATCGCAACGTGGCAATCAGCGTCTGCGTCGTCTCCGTCCTGGTGATCGCGGCTGCGGGCTTAGCGATCCGGGCGAAGCGGAGGAGCAATCTCGCGAGTGCCGGCGGCGGCGACGTCGTCCATCCAGCCCTGATGAGGCAGCATCCCGGTGGCCACCCGGCTTCGGTGGTGAACATTCACCTCTTCAGCGGCGGTGGCGGTGGTGTCGGCGGTGAAAATTAACTTCTTCCTCGGCGTGGGTGGCGTCGTCAGTGGGACGGAAGAACTCCTCAAGCGTGCCTTCTAGGATGTGGTTAATGCCGCACTTCGTAGAATGGATGTTGTGTTTGGACATCTTAGCACGTGTTTTATTACCCGGAATGAGTAAAGACCTTTTCGAATTTTTCATACTTTGATAGTGGCAAAAAGTGTCCCCGTGATGTAACCCGTAAAAAAACCCGTTTATTATAGATATTGGTTATCGAAAGCAGTGCTACTACTAAGTGTGTAAACTGGCAAACCCTCTAACTTTGTGTGTTTTCTGCTGCAAGGATCTAATTGTCTTTCATACGGCAGCATAAGTGGTGTCAATAAATGCCTGCTCAGTCTGAGCCCTAAGACTGGAATGTCTACTCGTGACTTCCTAGGATGGGAATGTCTACTATTAGTGGCCTACTAAGATGGGAATGTCCACTTTTAGTGACCTACTAAGATGGGAATGTCTACTTTTAGTGACCTACTAAGACTGGAATGTCTACTTTTAGTGACCTACTAAGACTGGAATGTCTACTTTTAGTGACCTACTAAGACAGGAATGTCTACTTTTAGTGACCTACTAAGACTGGAATGTCTACTTTTAGTGACCTACTAAGACTGGAATGTCTACTTTTAGTGACCTACTAAGACTGGAATGTTTACTTTTAGTGACCTACTAAGATGGGAATGTCTACTTTTAGTGACCTACTAAGACTGGAATGTCTACTTTTAGTGACCTACTAACACTGGAATGTCTACTTTTAGTGACCAACTAAGACTGAAATGTCTACTTTTAGTGACCTACTAAGACTGGAATGTCTACTTTTAGTGACCTACTAAGACGGGAATATCTACTTTTAGTGACCTACTAAGATGGGAATGTCTACTTTTAGTGACCTACTAAGACTGGAATGTCTACTTTTAGTGACCTACTAAGACTGAAATGTCTACTTTTAGTGACCTACTAAGACTGGAATGTCTACTTTTAGTGACCTACTAAGACTGGAATGTCTACTTTAAGTGACCTACTAAGATGGGAATGTCTACTTTTAGTGACCTACTAAGACTGGAATGTCTACTTTTAGTGACCTACTAAGACTGGGATGTCTACTTTAAGTGACCTACTAAGATGGGAATGTCTACTTTTAGTGACCTACTAAGACTGGAATGTCTACTTTTAGTGACCTACTAAGACTGGAATGTCTACTTTTAGTGACCTACTAAGATGGGAATGTCTACTTTTAGTGACCTACTAAGATGGGAATGTCTACTTTTAGTGACCTACTAAGACTGGAATGTCTACTTTTAGTGACCTACTAAGACTGGAATGTCTACTTTTAGTGACCTACTAAGACTGGAATATCTACTTTTAGTGACCTACTAAGATGGGAATGTCTACTTTTAGTGACCTACTAAGATGGGAATGTCTACTTTTAGTGACCTACTAAGACTGGAATGTCTACTTTTAGTGACCTACTAAGATGGGAATGTCTACTTTTAGTGACCTACTAAGCTGGGAATGTCTACTCGTGACCTCCTGTTTTATTGTCAGAAAGGGTCAAACCTATTCTTATATTTTGATACTGGAAAAAAAGGTCTCATGATGTAGCTGCTCACACAGAGCTTTAAATGTCCTCATATGGCGTTGTCCTTGTGCCGTTAGCCATTTGGCATCCTCTAGAGAAATTTGAATCAGACGCCATCCAGACTTCCACCCTCAGACCTTCCCTGTGGAAGAGATATGTGGATGACACTTTCGTCATTTGGCCACATGGCCTCCCAGCTCTGAACCTTTTCCTACACCACATCAATTCCAGACATCCCGCCATCAAATTCACCATGGAAGTGGAGAAAGATGGCAAGCTACCATTCTTAGATGTTCTGTTTGAGAGGAGACCTGATGGCTCATTGGGGCATTCTGTCTACAGGAAACCCACCCACACAGATTCCTACTTGAAACCTGATTCCCACCACCACCCAGCCCAAAATAATTATCTCATCAAAACTTTATACCATAAGGCTCTTTGCATTTCAGACCAACACCACCTGACCAGTGAATTAAAACATGTACACCTGGCCCTCAAAAGGAATGCATACTCTGACCGTACCATCCACCAAGCTGTTTCTCCCTCCATACAGAAACAACCACTTGATACTCCGGTCAAAACCATCACACTACCATATATAGCAGGTCGTTACTAAAAAGATTTCCAAAATTCTAAACACAAGATCCAGGTCCGGTTCAATACAGTACACAAAATTCGTGATCTGATCCCATCCGTGAAGGATGTCATTCCTGACTTACAGTACCCCGGGGTTTACAAATTGAGTTGTACCTGCGGTGATTGCTATATCGGGGAGACAAAGGGACATGTCTCTGACCAAATTCGCGAGCACAAATCAGATTTGAAACACGGCAGAACGAATTCTTCTGCCGTGGCTGATCACTGTTACAACGCTGTGGGTGATCACGATATAATTTTCTCCGATACCAAGGTTCTTTGCAAACCCACGGGTTTTTATCAGAGATTTGTTCACGAGGCAATTCAGATCTACAAACACAGACACAATTTCAACCGAGAAGATGGTTTCAAATTAAGCAACCATTGGAAAGATGTTCTAAATCGAACCAAACATGAAGCTAATTTTCAATGCTACAGTATATTTTTTCAAGTAGTGGTACCCCAAACTCTCGCTGCTCTTAAAATCCCTTTTCACACCATCAATATGTAAACTCCCCCTCCCCCCCTCGCCGACCTGCACATGTTCACCCCTCTCTACACCGTTCACCATGCTAAGTCCGCCAATTAAATGTCAAATTGTTATGCTAATTCCTTTGTCAAGGCGCCTTAATTCCTCTCACACAGCTTAAAGGTCGCGGTCTGAGCTTGGCTGTGTTCACTCCAATGCTGTCCGCTGGACAGGTTGGTCCCTTCACCTGATGAGGGCCGCTTGTGTTGTGGCTGAAACGTCGTGATTTTTGTTGTTCTAATTTTTTACCTACGTGGTGACTTTAGCGAATAGAACCAAAGAGTATGGATCCTTGCAGTCACGAAAGCTTCAAATCTAGAAGTACGTGTGTGGTTAATGCAGTGACATGATTCCTTGAAAAGGTTTCAGTTTGGTGTGTTAACATCTTAACAACCTCCTATTCTATTGCCACAAAGGGTAAAACCTATTCTTGTTTTTTGATACTTGCAAGGGAGGTCACATGACTCCGCCATCTTGTAATGTTCATGCCCGCAAGGGGTGACGTCACGCGGGGATAGGGAGAGCCTGTGACGTCACGAGCACCCCCCTCGTGACGTCACGAGCCCCGGCACCCTCCTCCACCCTCACATGACGTCACGAGCACCCAAGCCTTTCCGTGACGTCACGATGGTTCCCCCACCACATGACGTCACGAGCGCCCGTACTCCCCTGTGACGTCCCGATTGCCCCCCCCCTCTACCTCCACAAAACGTCCCGAACGCCTGCACATCCCTCGTGACGTCATGATCGCCCGCGATCCCCCCCCCACCCCTACATGACGTCTCGAGCACCCCCCCCCCGCACCCCGGACGTCACGAGGCCCGCACCCACCCCCCTACATGACGTCATGAGCGCCCGTAACCCACCTGTGAAGTCACGATCGCCCGCACCCCCCCCTACATTGCGTCACGAGCGCCTCCCCCCCGTGACGTCACGGGCAGGCTCGCGTGCCCCGGAGCAGCCGCAGGGTGGCGTCACCGAGTCGGTCATATATTAGTGTACAGGTAGTCCCCGACTTACGATGGTCCCCGACTTACGATGGTCCGACTTACGATATTTCGATCTTACGATGGCGATATGACAAAATTGTAAAATATTTTTTTTAATTTCGCGCGTCAGGCAAACGCAGCGGCGTACTGCGAGGCACGATACTGTAACTTGATCATCGCCATTCCTCATCTTCCGACAACTAAGTTCACGTAAAGTCACGTAATAATTTCATTTATTTTGATTATGTTTAAATTTTTTTAATTATTGTTATTTTATTGTTTCCCTTCTACGTGGTGGTGACTTTACCCAAAGAACCAAGAAGATGAATCCCTGCAGTCGCGGAAGCTTTAAATCGAAATTTAAGTTAATGTAGCCATCAACAACCTAACATCGTCCGAGTATGCAGACGACGGAACGGAATCTTGTGGTGATTACGGTAGAATGTCATACGTTGCGACACGTCCAATGCATGTATGATGCGTAGAATTTGAACGTGGCTCTTTCACTCCAGCGCTGTCCTACCAGACAGTCTCGTCCCTTCACCTGATGAAGGCCGCTTGTGTTGTGGCCGAAACGTCGTGAGAATATTATTGTTGTGTTATTTTATTTTATCAATTTATTATTTTATTCTCATTCTACGTGGTGGTGACTTTACCGAAAGAACCAAAGAATATGATGCGTAGCTTGAGCGATTTCATTTCGGGGTTACCACGATACGATACGTTACGTTCAATGCACGCTAAAATTTATTTTTTGTTGTTGTATATAGCAGAGAGGATTGTTTCCTGGGGAAAAAAAACTACTTTCTATGAAAATTTCAGCTCATGTAGGTAGGCTAAGAATTTACCTTGTTATTTTTTTTTACTTTAAAGTTCACCGTGCAATACAGTATTGTAATTAATAAATACATACAGTCTATGGTTTATACAGTTACGGTACTGTAGATTACTCTGTTTTGCTAAATTATCACCATTCTTTAAGACTCCTGGGTAGGCTAAAAGGCCATTTTCGACTTACGATATTTTCGACTTACGATGACGGTGGTCGTCTGAACGCATCTCCATCGTAAGTCGGGGACTGCCTGTACTTGCTTTACTAGCCGGCTTCGCCCGGATTCATCTCTTGGATTAATTGACGGCCTACGCGGAGGGTGGGTGAGTGTGTGGGTGGGGGAGGGGCGTGACGTCAGCAGGCACACTGCGTGACGACGCTAACCGCGTGCGGGTGACATCATCACGGATGTGACG